ATAGAGGGCGGCGCCCCAACCCCCCCTCCACGGGCCCTGCTCTGTGTGTGATGGGGTAGAGCCATAACCTCCCCATCGGCCCTGCCCTGAGTGTGACAGTGGCGGCGCCCCAACCCCCTGATCGGCCCTGTTCTGTGGGTGATAGAGGGCGGCGCCCCAACCCCCTGATCCGCCCTGCTCTGTGCATGACAGGGGGCAGCGCCCCAACCCCCTGATTGGCCCTGCTCTGTGCGTGACAGGGTACGGAGCCCCAACCCCCCTGATGGGCCCTGCTCTGTGCATGACAGGGGGTGGCGCCGAAACCTCCCCATCAACCCTGCCTTGAGTGTGATGGGGGCAGTGCCCCAACCCCCCAATCGGCCCTACCCTGAGCGTGACTGAGGGTGGCATCGCAACCTCCCGATCTGCCCTGCTCTGTGCATGACAGGGGGCGGTGCCCCAACACCCCAATCAGCCCTGCTCTGAGCCCGACCAGGGGCTGAACCTAGGGATTGGGCCTGCCCTCTGCCACCCGGGAGCAGGCCTAAGCCAGCAGGTCGTTAACTCCCGAGGGGGCCCAGACTGCAAGAGAGCACAGGCCAGGCTGAGCGACCCCCGCTCCCCCCCGAGTGCACAAATTTTTGTGCACCAGGCCTCTAGTTCATATATATCAGGGGTCCTCAAACTTTTTAAACAGGGGGCCAGTTCACTGTCCCTCAAACCGTTGGAGGGCCAGACTATAGTTTTTAAAAAAAATATGAACAAATTCCTATGCACACTGCACATATCTTATTTTGAAGTAAAAAAACAAAACGGGAACAAATACAATATTTGTATTTGCATGTGGCCCACGGGCCGTAGTTTGAGGACCACTGATATATATCATATATGAATATGTATCATCTATATCATTTATATATATATATACAGTGGGGCCTTGACTTACGAGTGTCCTGACTAACGAGTTTTTTGAGATACCAGCTGTCTCTCGGCCAATTTTTTGCAGAGTTGATAGAGTAATTTGAGTTAACGAGCTCCTTAACAAGCTCGGAATGAATTAAACTCGTAAGTCAAGGCCCCACTGTGTGTGTGTGTGAACACATACATACATATATTTTATACATATATAAAAGGCTAATATGCTAAGTATCCCTCCAACCATCTGACTGGTCGCTATGACAGGCACTGACCATCAGGGGGAAGACCCTCAATGCAGGAGCTGCTGTGACACGCACTGGCCATTTACAAAGGAACAGCACCACGGACCTGGCATCAACAAAGCAACACTTGGTTTCGCCCAAGTGGGACACAGGCCCCTCCACCATCCTGGAGTGACACCCCACCAAATCGCAGCCAATGCTACCAAGACCCCATGGCACAAAATGCAGCCCAATGCTCAGCCCAGCCTGGAAATGGTCACTGTGGGCACCAGGTAATGATGTCATATAGCAATGCCCAGCTTCCTCTCCCTAACAATTAGCCTCCTTGCAGTTCCTTCAGCCCAGGAACAGGACTTGCTTTATAGCCAGGTGCAAACATTTTACACTTTAACCGAATGTCTGTGAAGCATATTCCCATGCCTCATCTCAGTTGATCCTCACAGAAGTCCTGGAGTAGGTAGATAGGAGACTCGGTAGAATCCTATTTTCTTTTCATTAGCCGGAAAACGGAAATTTAGAAAGTTTAGAAACTTGATCTGAATGAAAAGAAGTAAAAAATGGTGGACCTTGAAAATGACTTCAGGTTTTCTCATTGCACAGAATATAGTCAAACATTGCTGCAGTTAAATATTTTACCATTTGTTCTCCCTGTGTGATCTACAATAATAATCTGCTTCGTGTTGATATTTACTGCTGTGTTGCTGACAATTACCTAAAAGAGAAGTTGGGGCGCTTCACTGGGCTGGAAAAAGTTTAACTAAATCAGAAAGCAGGTCTAATCAAGCAAGTTTATTCTAGACATGTAAAAGGCTAAGTTAACTCACACATGTGCGATACATATAAAGCTCTCGCTGGTGCCAATCGCTCGTGTGTTTTGATCTGCCATTGTCAATCGTGAATTTAGTTGACATTTCTATTATAGAAAAAGTGCAAATAGTGATATTAAAATATTTCTTCTAATTAATTTCCTTTCAATGTGCACAAATCTGTGCACCTGACTACTAATATCTTAATAAAGCTTAGTGAAAAACTGGGCAGTTAGAGATGTTTAAAAAATATTAGCACCAAGGATTCTTTCTCCTTGTATAATCAACAAAATGGCAGAGACCTGAAAAGGTAACAACTTTCTCATTAAAACAACTGAGCCCAGCTACTGTGGCTCAGTGGTTGAACATTGACCTCTGAACCAGAAGGTCATGGTTTGATTCCCAGTCAGGGCACATGCCCAGATTGTGGACTCCATCCCCAGTAGGGGGCGTGCAAAAGGCAGCCGATCAATGATTCTCTCATCATTGATGCTCCTATCTCTCTCTCCCTCTCCCTTCCTCTCTGAAATCAATAAAAGTATTTTTTTTTTAAATAATAATAATTTAAAAAAAATAAGAAATCAATTGAAAGATCCTTTGGGGAACCCGCTAAATCATCTCAAATGCTCCTGTAGTCCCCAGTCTACTGCTAGAAACACAAACTAAAGTACTGCTAAGATCCCCTCTGCCTCCAACTGACCCTCTCCAAGCAAGGGACAACGAAGCAGAAAGGACAGCCTTTGGACTGGACAGACCCCAAACACTGCAGTCACTGGCAGCAAAACCAAGGTGGTCCATGGCATTTACCTGGGTGCCAGTACCAATCTACTAGTTGCGGCTGACTGGGGTGTTCATTGGTGGATTCTGAAACCAAGTCCAGGCTCAGCTGGAAAGAGTGCCCTGAGTGATTAGCAAAGTCTGCCACGCAGAACCCGAAAATGGTGCTGCCAATGCCTGTATTTGTGGCTTTGTCCAGAAGTCCAAGAGAAGCCTTAGTCAGTTTGGCTCAGTGACTAGAGCATCAGCTAGTGGACTGGAAAATCTCGGGTTTGATTCGGGTCCATGGCAAGTACCTCAGCTGCAGGCTCAATCCCCAGTCCTGGTAGGGACGCGTGCAGGAGACAACCAATCGATATGTGTCTGTCTGTCTCTCCCCTTCCCTTCCACTCTCTCTAAAAATCAATGGAAAAAATATCCTCGGGTGAGGATTAACAAACAAAAAAAAGGCTCAAGTGAAGGGATATCAAGTTTGCTCTGATCCCAGGTGCCACATTAAACGTTTTTTTTTAAAAATATGTTTTTTATTGATTTCAGAGAGTGCAAGGGAGAGGGAGAGAGATAGAAACATCAATTATGAAAGAATCACTGATCCGCTGCCTCCTGCATGCCCCCTACTGGGGATTGAGCCTGAAACCTAGGTATGTGCCCTGACCAGGAATCAAACCATGACCACTGAACCACACAAGCCGGGCACCACATTAAACTTTTTTATATCTCTGCCACACCACTGCTAACTGCTATTAGGGTCTGAGCTAATCATCGTATTTCCTTCTTAAGCCATTATAGCAGCTAATACTTTTCGAGGGTTCTTAGGTGTGTGGCACTGTTCTGAGTTCTGTACAAGGATCAGCCCATTTTACAGATGAGGAAACTGTGACCCAGGGGCCGAAGCAACTTGCCTAAGGTCACTCAGCTAAAGACAGGCTGGAAGAACATAAGCGATGAAAAGGATGACTTCAACAGCTGCTCCACCAGATCTGGGGAAGTCAGCCCACAGAGCCTCCAGGGGGTCCCCAAACCAGGCTGGGCTGCCCTGCCTTTGTGCCTGGGACACAAGCAGGCATGGGGAACTCCCCAACTAGTAGGCAACAGTACCTTCTGCCCAGTTGTGATTGCATCTCCTTCTGACTGTCCTAAATCCATATCCACCCCCTTTATATCCAGTAGCTCCAGACACTCCACTTCTTTCACCTTCCCAAATCAGGGCAGGGCAGCTCTCAAACCTGAGTGAACAATAGACTATAGGTTATAAATGCAGGTTCCTAGGCCCAGGCAGGTCCGAAGCAGGGCCTGGCAACTGTGCCCACAGGCCAACTGTGAGGCCTAGAAGACCACATCAGATCAGATGCTTCAGAAGCCAGGATCAGAGGACCCCACATGGACGTCCCCATGATGTCCAAACTCCCTATCCTCTTTCTTCTCTTTCCATGGCAAATGACCGGATGAGGAGACGGACAATAAGGAACTGGGGCCAAAGTTCTGGGTCAGGCCACTCTTCTTATTAAAGGCACGAGAACAGAGTAGGAACAGCTCAACTGGGAGCCGGATTCCTGGTCCCAGATGTGCTTCCAATCCCTCCCTGAGTCCTCGGGAAAGTCACACCCTCCCTGGTGGCTCAGGTCTCTCTCTCATCACAAAAAAAAGGAGACCAGAGAACCCAGAGGTCCCCTCCCACCATTCTCCTGTTCTCCAGCAAGATGCCCAGCCTCTTCGCCGGCGGTGAGAATCATCTCCCCACCATCCACCGGCGCCAGGAGGTCCCAGGAGCGCTACGTCTCTGTCCATATGGGATGGAGAGCGTCCTGAATCCTGTCTGGGTCTTCGCACCAAGTCACCAAAGAGAGCCCAAACCGGCGATGGTGTGATGTCAACCCTCATGACAATGACCACTTTGTAAGCACAAGCGAAGCGCCGGGCACAGTGCTAACCCCTTGGCAGCGTCGCGCCTGAAACCTCATCCGGGCCCTAGTAGGTCCCCGAGGGTCTCCCCAGGGTGCAGACCCGGAGCCGAGGCCCTTCAGGGCGACGTGACTGACCCAAGGTCACCCAGCCTGGACGAGGAGGTCCGTCCAGGGCCCCACGCACGCCCTGGGGGCCGGGTCGAGGGCGCGCGGAGCTCCGGGGAGGAAGACTGCAGGCAAGGCCGGGAACCCAGGAGAGCTCCCACCCGACCCCTGCGCGGAGGGCCCCGCACCGGCGCGCCTTGCCCGTCCCGCCGGCCGCCAAGTCCGCGCCACGCCACGCCACGCCATCGGCGCCCGAGTCCACCACTCACCGCACTTCGGGGGGTAGCGATAGGCCGAGTTCGCCTGAATGTCGATGTCCTCCACGCCCGCAATGCGTCGGCTCAGGATGGAGCCCATGGTCACAGCGGGCCGGGCTGGCCAGGACCGAGTAGGACGGCGGCGGCAGCAGCGGCGTCTTCACGCAGACATGGCCGGGAGCAGGCCACACGGACGCCAGCCCACGGACGCCAGCCCACGGCCGCGGAATCCTCAGCCTCCGAGCCCCCACCCCCGACTCGGCCGGGCCGACGCTACGGCAGCCCTCCGCCCCCGACCCAAGGCACCTCGGGAAATGGAGTCCCCTCGCCTCCGAGGGCACCGGGCTGCGGCGCGGAGAGCGCGCCTAGCAACTACATTTCCCAGGATGCTCCTCGCCTGGCTCCTCTGAAGTTGTTGACAAGCGCTCCGGGACAAACCAAATGGATCAGAATCCAGAGAAGTGCAACCATCACCCGCAACGCGAGTTGTCCTTCCCTCTGCATTCCAAGCACTGCACCAACGTTGTAGCGCTTTAGCCTCCTAGTAATCTTTCACATGTAGACCCTTCTATTTATCCCCCTTCCATTTACCCCTCTCGGAAATGTCTCCCTGAGCCACCATGGTTCTCCCCGCTTCCCAGGGTTTATCTCCTGTCCCGGCCAGCAGAGGGCACACGTTTACTTGCCACCCCAAGCTTACCTGGAGAGGTGCTCAGAGGAAGCAAAGGGCCTGCCTTATCCTTTTCCAGAATTCAAGGCATCTTTCCGATTCTACGTCCAGAACAATTATTTTGAACACATAATTTTAAAGCGGCCCCCCCACCCCCACAAGAGGCAGTAGACCTCTCCCCTTTTTACAGGTAGAGAAACTGAAGCACGAAGAAGGAAGGTCTGCATATAAGGTCAGGATTAAAGTTTTTCTGGTTGCAATGAACTTTCCTGGCTTTTAAAAAATATATACTTTTAAAATTGATTTTATAGAGGAAAGGAGAGGGAGAGACAGAAAAATCAATGATGAGAGAGAATTGTTGATTGGCTGCCTCCTGCACACCCCGCACTGGGGATGGAGCCCGCAACCTGCGCATGTGCTCTGACCAAGAATCCAACTGTAACCTCCAGGTTCATAAGTCAATGTTCAACCACTGAGCCAGGTGGGCCTGGCTCCTGGCTTTTGACTTACATAAAACTCAATAAGCAGGAAACATGTGGCTGTTTTTACCTACTTTTCAGTTAAGAAACTGGGGTTCCTAGAAGAAAGTGACTTCCCCAGAAAAGCCTGCTGTCTCAAGAAAGAAACTATGGAGGGCAGCAGCTAGAAGAGTCTCAAATGGTAAGTTCACCACAATCCACATTAAAATGAGTCTTCTACCTTTCTAGAGGCCAGAATCCAGAACACTACCTTCTGTTATCAGGGTACCAGGAAGCCAAAACTAATAAAGTGAAAGAGTTGGATGATTGTGAGGGAGAGGCCATGTCTTGGAAGAGCTTGATTAAATCTCTCTGCTCCACAACTAAGGCCCTTTTTAGTGTGCACCTACTATGTTCCAGACATTGTGTTGAGGGCTTTGCACATATTCTCATTTAATTCTCTAATGTCAGTTCTATTTTCATTTCCAATTTACAGAAAAGTGAGGCTGGGAGGGGTGAAGTACCCCACTCGGGTCACATAGTATGTAAGTGGTAAAGCTGGAATTTGAACCAGGCCATGTCTTTTAACACCACACTTCCCTGCCACCTCAGAGACAGGAAGGCTCCAGTGTGCCAGATTTCATATCTCTTGTCCCCAGGTGAGCCTGAAAACACCCCCACCCCATGTGATCTTTCTTCCCTTAAATTTCTTTCTGTTGAATCACATAACATTTGTATATAGACCAGCACTGATTCACTGTGTAGATATACCAACACTGCATTCAATTTACCAACCTCCCTCTTTGTGGGGAGAGAGGAGAGTTACTGAAGACCCTGATGTTCCCACTGAAAAAATAACCCTAAGCTAAGGGCATGTCCTCCCTATGGATCCGGGGTCAGGGAGTCATTTCCATGGAGCTATTTTTATTTGGCTAATTAAACATTCCTCCTAATAGAGCTTTGGACTTGTGGTGTATTTTTCTGTGTTTATCCATGCCCAACTGGGAGACAGTCCCTTTTTTTAAAAAAAATTATTTATTGTTTAAAGTAGTATATGAGTCTCCTTTTCCCCCCATTGACCTCTCCACCGCCACCCCCACCCTCAAGCACAAGCCCTCACCCCCCTATTGTCTGTGTCCATTGGTTTTGCTCATATGCATGCATACAAGTCTTTTGGTTGATCTTACCCCCTCACTGCTCCCCCTGCCCCCGCCTGCCCTCATAGGTTATACAGTCTGTTCAATGTTTCTATGACTCTGGTTCTGTTTTTGTTCATCAGTTTATGTTGTTCAGTATATTCCTCTTTTTCTTTTCTTTTTTTGGCAGTCCCTTTCTGATTTGGTATTAGTTCCACTACCAACATCTTTTTCTTTTTTTTTAATATATTTTATTGATTTTTTACAGAGAGGAAGGGAGAGAGAGATAGAGAGTTAGAAACATCGATGAGAGAGAAACATCGATCAGCTGCCTCCTGCACATCTCCTACTGGGGATATGCCCGCAACCCAGGTACATGCCCTTGACCGGAATCGAACCTGGGACCCTTCAGTCCGCAGGCCGACGCTCTATCCACTGAGCCAAACTGGTTTCGGCTCCACTACCAACATCTTGACTGATTCACTTATTTATTCAACAAATATTCATCATGCAGCTACTATGTGACAGGCAAAGAGACAGGTAATAGGGATCAAAGGGAGAAACCACCAGATATGGAGCTTGCAGGATAGTGAGGAAACAAACGCTAAAACAGTTAAAGGCCCTGGCATTTGTTGGTTAGAGTGTCATCCTGATATGCCAAGGTTGTGGGTTCGATCCCTGGTTAGGGCATATATAAGAATCAACCAATGGCCCTAGCCAGTTTGCCTTAATGGATAAAGCATCGGACTGTGTACTGAAGGGTCCTAGGTTTGATCCCAGTCAAGGGCACATGCCCAGGTTTCGGGCTCGATCCCCAGTAGGGGGTGTGCAGGAGGCAGCTGATCAATGATTCTCTCTCATCATTGATGTTTCTCTCTCTCCCTCTCCCTTCCTCTCTGAAATAAAAAGTATATTTTTAAAAAGAGCCCTAACCGGTTTGGCTCAGTGGATAGAGCGTCAGCCTGCGGACTCAAAGGTCCCAGGTTCGATTCCGGTCAAGGACATGAACCTTAGTTGCGGGCACATCCCCAGTGCAGGAGGCAGCTGATCGATGTTTCTAACTCTTTATCCCTCTCCCTCCCTCTCTGTAAAAAATCAATAAAATATATTTTAAAAAAATAAAATAAAAAAAGAATGCATAAATAAGTGGAACAACAAATCAATGTTTCTCCCCTTCTCTCTGTCTCTAAAATCAATTTTAAAAACTTTATTAAGAAGTATATAAATACAAGATGTGGTGGGTACTATGGGGGAATGGATTGAGATGCAATAATAGGAGAGACCTTCTATTGATAGGGGAGTGAGGGAAGGCATCTCTGAGGAGGTTACACTTAAGCCTGGACTTGAAATATAAGTAAGAGCTAACCAGGCAAACTCTGAGGGGATTAAGCCAGGTTCCAGGCAGGGGGGAACAGCATGGACAAAGACTCTGAGGCAGCACAGAGCTGATTATGATCCATGAGCTCAAAGGCCAGTGTGGCTAGAATCAAGTAAAGGGAAGAGTATGGGAACAGAGATCAGCCAGCCAGCATTGGGTCATATGAAACAGAAAAAAACATTGATTTGTTGTTCCACTTATTTATGCATTTTTTAAAAAATATATTTTTTATTTCAGAGAGGAAGGGAGAGGGAGAGGGTTTGGCTCAGTGGCTAGAGCTTTGGCCCACAGACTGAAGGGTCCTGGATTCTATTCTGGTCAAGAGCATATACCTTGGTTGCAGGCTCAATCCCTGGCCCTAATCAGGGCAAGTGCAGGAGGCAGCCAATCAATGTGTCTCTCTCACATCAATGTTTCCCTCACTCTGTCTCTCCCCCTCCCTTCCACTCTTTCTAAAAAAAAAAAGATCAATGGAAAAATATCCTCGGGTGAGGATTAACATACACTCACACACACACACACACACACACACAGGCCCTAGGCACAGTTCGTGGCCTCCAGGGGTGAGTCCCGCAAGTCTACACTTCTTCTCAAGCCTCTTGAGAGGGCAGGATCCTCAACTATTCATCCTTGTGCTCCCAGAGCCAGGCACCCAGTGTACTATGTCTGGTAAACACATCTGTGGAGTGATCGAAAGAATGGAGGTGGGGAGGAGGGGGCCAAGGGATGCTGAGAAGGCCGGGACCCTGCACCTCTGTGAATTGGCTATGCCAACTGTGGCAAGGCCCTCACCTCTCTGGACCTCAGAAAAGATGAGGGCACTGCCTGAAATGTATTTTACTTTCTCATCCCCCATCTACTAGCCTCAGCTGGCAGGCCCCATCTGAGCCTGCTAAAAAAGCCAAAGTCCACTTTCTAGCCAGGCTGATCCTGGCTGAAAACAAGGTTTTTTACTTCTCTGCTGCTCCTGGAAAACAAGCCAGCTGGAGGACTGTGGGGGCCCGAGGGGTGACCTTTGCTCTTGCCAGCCCCACCTACCCCACCCCAGTCTGGGCTGGACAAGCCTGTGCAGGTACCTGAGCGGTGCCTGGATGAGGGTGGGGGAAGGTACTTCCTGCCTCCCTCAGCAAGAAAAGCCCCCAGTAGGCCCTGCCAACACTCACCCTCCCTTGCCAGAAACACATCCTGCTGGCTCACTGCATGCCTGCTCTTCTTCGAGGGCCCTGAACACTGGAAAAAGTGTCAGAAGTCCTGGATTCCAGCCTCAGTTTCCTTATCTGTAAAATGGGCTTGGACTCACTAGACAGAGGCAAAGAGGTGAGTACTAGAAATGGTTCGCTGAATGCCAGGCCCATGTTGAGCTCCGCCCTGGCATTACTCCATAGCAGACCTGGGAGAGCTCCTGGCTCTCACCTTCAGTTCTACAAATGAGGAAACTGAACTTGCCCAACATCAGTCATTAAGTGGCAGTGTCAGGACTGGCAACCAGGTTTGTCTGGCTCCGGAACTTGTTCACCTTCCACCATGCCCTGTTGCTGGCCCAGTGGTAACAGTACCTATACTCAGAGCTGCCTATCCTGTGCCGGGTACTTTGCCCACATTAATTCATGTTTATGATGCTAGACATCGACTGCAGGCCCCCTACTG